TTGTTTAGACAGAGATGAGTATAGAAAGGCGCTCAAGAGAATAACGGTTCTTGCGGGCAAGAAGCGCTCCAAAAAAGGTGTTGCGTGGTCTGAGGAGAGAAAACGTAAGCACGCGGAGCTCATGAGGGGTATATGGGAGAAGAGGAGGCAGATGAAGAGGAAGCATTAACTTCATGGTATTCGCGTGGTCTTTAAGGCCTGTTCGTGAAAAAAAAAAATAAATAAATGACTTTATTACAAGTTTAAGGTCATATGTCTTCAGGGGTGCCCATCCCCCCAAGGTCGATGGCACAAAGAACCTATCTCTCCCCTCCTCCCAAGATATTTTATTGCTTTCCTTTTCTTAAAAACAGAGCAAGCTAAGGCAGAATTAGAAAAATTGTAGATCATATACAATTACACTTGCTATGCTATGTTCCATGCTTTTCTCCTTGTCCCTTAGTCTTAAAATTCATAACCCCGTTGAAATGTGCCCCTTTAAAAATTCAAAAAACTATCAAAATATGCACCCCTCAAACATTTCTATGGCGCAAGTTGCGCCATGAAATCCCCTTCTGAGCACCACTGTATGTCGTTATCTCATAATCCCTGCCGCCATTTCTTTTTATTATGACAATCTTCCTCCCGGAGTTCTCTTGTTGCTTTTGCCTCACAGATACCTTTGATCTATCACTTTTCTGGTCGACCTCTCTTCCTCCTTTCAAATGGTACATGCTTAGGTACCATTTTAGGCCATCAGTCCTCCTTCATTCTCATAACTTGTCCAAACCAACTCAGCTTTTTAGTCTCAATGGAGTAAAGGATGTTGAGGGGTTCTTTCACTTTGTCCCTAATGTGATTATTTGGAACGTGTTGTAGCCTTGATATTATAGAACTTCGTTTCCAAAAAGCCATCTCCATTGATTCCGTTTTCTTGCCGAGTTTGTTGAAATCGTCCAGGTTTCTGAGACATATAATACAGTGCTTACAACAAATGAGTGTTCTGCCTCTGATGATCTTATCATCAATGTCCTTTTTGCTGTTACTCCCCTTTGAAAGCCAACTGCCTAAATATTTAAACTGCTCTGTTAGGGTCAAATCCCATTCTCCAATAATTAGTGAGGAGTTTCGACTATTGTTAAATGCGATGTTCTCACTTTTTGGGTAAAATACACTGACAGGCAAAAAATAACACCCACTTGATTTTTTCATGTTGTCATCTAAAAATATTTCTGCTTTGGATTGGTCTATTGTTTTTAATGAATAAATAGGTAATCTTTTTGTTTGTTTTCAATTAGGAATGTTAATATAAAGGACAATAACCCTTAATCCTTAATTCAATGAAATGATTCTAAGATTCTAATGTTTAATTTCTATGGAATCAAAATGTTTATTCAGTATCATTAGTTCATTGCCGTTTCTTGCAGCACATTTCTTAGTCTCCTGCTTTTAATTTTTTCAATATTAAGTTTAAAAATGCCTCTTAGTGCTGAGGATGTTACGCTTGGTGTGGCACTTATTGATGATGGACGTTCCATTAGATATGCAGCTAATGCCATTGGAGTTCCATATGAAACTTTACGAGATGCCGTCAGGCGTTTTCGGGAAACCGGTTCTTACAATAGAAGGCCCGGTTCTGGACGGCCAAGGGTAACAGAACCACGGGGTGACCGGTTTTTGACTTTGAGAATTTTACGAAACCGGCACCTTACCGTTGTTCAAGCGATTCATCAGCTCGAAGAAGTTCGAGGTGTGCTAATTTCTGAACGTACCGCTCGGAGAAGATTAAATGAGTATGGATTAATGGCTTTTTGTCCAGTAAGAGGACCAAAGTTGACCAGAACTCACAGAGTAACACGGCTGGCTTTTGCTCGAGAATACAGCCATTGGACTATGGACGAATGGAGTGCTGTACTTTTTACAGATGAGTCAAGATTCGCTCTTCGATCTCCAGACGGGCATGAAAGGAAGGATGTGGAGAAGAAGAAACGAAAGATATGCAGCCTGTAATTTTTCCCACAGCCAACCTTTCCAACGTGGTTCCTTAATGGTGTGGACTGGGATTTCAATGGAGCGCCGCACAGAATTGGTTGTTGTTCGTGGAGGGTCTTTCACGGCTATTCGCTATGTAGATGAGATTTTGGAACCTCATGTGTTGCCTATCCTCAATGAAATCGGCGATCGTTCTATTCTAATGCACGCATAGTGCAAACGTTCCTTCAACAGAACAATATTTAGGTTTTAGCCCGGCCAGCACGTTCTCCAGATTTGAACCCCATTGAGCATTTATGGGATAACCTCGGAAGACGAATAACAGCGCGTGCAACACTTCCTGATACACTGCAGGACCTTGAAAGGGCTCTTCGGGAGAAATGGGCTATCCTCCAGCAAAGGAACATTTCCCGACTAGGGAAGTATCCCGAGGCGTCTTCAAGAAGTAGTGAAGGCAAGAGGAGGAAACAAGCGCTACTAAATGATGATGTAATTAATTTCTTTTAGAATAATAATGGTTCGTTTTTCAATTTTTTTTTCTCTAATGTTTCTTAACTAATCACATTTTCATTATTAAAGGTAAAAAAGATTATAAAATTCCATAAATACTAAGTATTATCTACAAATACAACTTTTTTTACAAGTGGCAGAAATATTTTTAGATGAAAACATGAAAAAATCAAGTGGGTGGAATTTTTCGCCTGTCAGTGTATATACATATATACACACACACACACACACATATATATATATATATATTTTCTTTTTTCTCTGCTGTATTAAACCTACAGAACAGGCCTATATTTCTTAGAAATGTGCATACACCATGCAAAAGCATATTATATGCATAACATTGTTATTTTAAATTTTTAAAAAATAGCTTATTACAAAATATGTTAGCTTACATAATGCAATTATACTACTCTATTAATATACTACGGCATATGTTTCTCTTATTGAAATTGTAGTTTATATTTAAACATAGTTATATATAACACCATATCCTATGGTTTTATCATAACCCTTCCATTTTTATGTGAAAATTTTATCACATTTCTTGCAGCAATTTGAGGCATCGGAGAATTGAGAGTTCCTTCAAATATAAATATAAGTATATAATATATTTAATTGATTTTCTAACATATTTTCAGATATGCACATACGAAAAAAAAACAGTTTTACACGCACATACGCAAAAAAAAAAAACTAATATACATATATAGTGAGGCTGGGGTAGCCGTACAAGCTAAGGCGCTTGCGATAATTTATCAAAGTTAGGCAACGCCAAGTGTGGTTAGTACTTGGATGGATGACAGTCCACCAGGTAAAGCCACGCTACCCGAGATTCTCCTTCCCCGGGTATGTGAGGTCCGTCAGCCTACTGAAGGCAACTCACACTGACCGGGCATAGGACTGATGACCCTACCCCCCCGTGTATTTCAATCGGGAATTGGGGATATGTTCTAGAAGACCACATCTTGCGGTCAAAGATCTTAACGGCCTGTAGCGCCTACCGAAAAAAAAAAAATGAGAATGATCAAGAAATGGAAATGATGGTCATCATATAACGTGGTGATTTGAAACTAAAGGGCATCTACTTGTTAATAATTTTTTTATTAATTGCATTGATTTACTGATAAACCTCTTAAAATCTGAAATTTGCCAACACTATGGGCCATTGCAGACCTAGACTTTACGGCCAAACAATAAAGCTGTATTTTATAAAGCCCAGAGAGAAAAAAAAAAGGAAAGGGACTAATCAAAAAATGAGTAAAGAAACATGCATTTGTAACAAAAATATTGTAATATTCAAAATTACACCATACTTTAGAAAGAATTACATATCATGGCTTTGATACACAAAAATATACATTCAAGTTTATTGTTATAAAATATACAATTAACAGGATATAAATTAAGTATACACATAAGTGTGTGTACATATACACGTCTTTCTAAATAAACATGAAAGATCTGAACAAATAATTAAATAGTAAACAAAAGTGTTAAAAAACTGGAAAATATATTTAATTAAAACTCATCTATATACACTTACTTTCTTTACATTCATGTGCATTATATTTACAAAAAGGCTATAACTCCATAGTAACTTATTTTCAAACAGAGTGAACTATCTGTATGAGTTTATTAAATAAACAAATAATAATGTTTCCACATTATTGTATTTTCTTCAGCATTCTTTAATGTTCAAAACACATAAACATTTATATCACTAAATATTTAGAAGCGTCAGCCCATCATTTATTAAGAAAGAACTGTAGTAAATCTCTACCTTATCTTTTTGTTTTGATAGGAAACAGTAATAGGCACTGTTAGCTGATCGTTTAAGAAAAAAGAATTATGGTGCATTGTTATTATTTTCATTTTTTTAAATAAACAATCATGACATTAAAATGATCTTTGTCAATTTTTCAAATCGAGTGCTGATAAAAAAAATGATAAGCACCATTCAGTTTTGAAGAAACCAAGAAAAAGACTGACCAACCTTTTCTGTTCAATTAATTTCTTTTCTTTTACATATACCAATCAATTTTTTTGGAGTTGGAAAGAGCCGAATTTGTTTTATTCAAAATCTAAATAATAAATATTATTGTAATTAATTAAAAAATATAACAAAAATTAATAATTTAATACTTTTTTAATAACTAAACCAATAAATACAAAACATGATACAAGAGTCTATTAAACAATTTCTTTACAATATATATACACCAAATGGAAAATGAAAATAACCTTATGGCAAAAATTCAATACAAAAAAATTAAATAAATCTAATTCTTTAGGCCATTAAATCATTACATTTTGGCTTGAGAGAGCATATAAATAAAAAAAATTACACACTAAGCAATTTTTATGTTTAGGGTTGTTCTTCATTATTAAAATAAAACTATTATTGAAACGAATGTCTTGAAACTAACTTTGGAGGAAAAATAATTGTTTGTGAAAATAAGAAAAAGTGATCATAAAAATCATAATAAAAAATTTGTATAATTATATTTGAACATTACTAATGGAATCTGTTAGCAGCATTTTCACGCTCTCTCCTTCTAAGCTTTTTTCTGCGACGATCTATGACAGCAAGCTCTGCTTTTACATCGGCATAAGCTCTTCTCAACTGCTGAATTGTTTGCTGAATTAAAGCTATCCTCTGATTAGAATCAAGATCAGGATCTATAATAAATAATAACAAAATTTAAAAAAAAAAACATATTGATAAATAACAGTAAATTGACATTCATACACATTATACTATATACAGTACACTTTAGTCAAAGGTCACACACACTACATATCCTAGGAAGCTACACCAAGAAAGATGAGTAGATAAGAAGGCTTAGAGGAGACACACCTGACTACACCTGACTCGGAGGCAGAAAGGGCTAATATAACCCACAACCCTTAAACAAATAATTATTATGAACCCTGAAAAGAAAGATAGGCATGGAAAAACATTTATCTCAAAATAGTGACTTGGAATGTAAGAGGACTAAACCAACCAGGGAAAAATCTGGAAATGAAGCTGGATAAATACAATGTGTAAATTTTGGCAATGGATGAATGTAGAGATCCAGGACCTGATAAGGTACACAATGAAAAACAGTGGGAACGAAAACAATATTTTTGTAACAGTTTCATGGTAAATAGATCACTCATTCATAGATTATTTTTCCATAGGTCCAGACGGCATCCCTGTCAAATTAATAAAATTACGTCTCCCTGAAATTCTCCCAGTTCTCCTTTTTATCTACAATTTCTCCCTTTATAATTCAGTATTGCCTACCTCTTGGAAAAAGCCTAATCCATCCTCTCCCAAAGATTTCCGCCCTATCTCAATTCTTTTTAACCTCCCAAAGCCCATTGAAAGATTGGTGCAATCCCAAGGCTCCAAGTTCCTTGAAAAGTCCAACCAATTTTTGAACCTCTCCAATCTGGTTTCCGTCCTGGCTATTCCAAACAATCTGCCTTAATTAAAATTAACAGCGACATTCAAACTGCAATAGACGATAGAAAATTAACTGTCCTCATACTTCTCGACTTCTACAAATCCTTTGATACCATTGACCATTCCATCCTCTTCGACAAACTAAAATCATTATCTTTCTTCAATAGTTTCATCTCTTGGTTTCAATCTTTCCTCTCCCAACGCACCCAAGCAATCTCCATACCCAATCATCCACTACCTTCCTTTATCCTCTGGAGTTGCCCAGGGTACAAGCATATCTCCTCTCCTTTTCAGCTCCTATATTAACGACCTACATAATTCAATTCTTCATTGTTCCCACCACCTTTTTGCAGATGATTCCCAGATCTACCTATCCTTTTCTCCCCCTGAATTATTGGTAGCATTTGCCAAGATTCCAGAAGACCTTGATTGAATCAGTGCCAGGGCAAACGTAAATGGATTAAGGTTAAATGGTGGTAAAACTCAGGCCATTGTCATTGGTTCCAAGCCCCTTATTAGATCCCATGCCGACTTTCCCATATTACACCTTAATGACCAGCCAATCTCCTTCTATTCACTCCTCAGTTAAAAATTTAGGATTTATCATAGATCAAACCCTCTCCTGGAACTACCATATTTCTCACATCTCCTGACACAATTTCTACCCTTAAACTATTTCATTGCTTCCGCCATCTCCTACCTCAAAATACGCGTAGACTCCTAATTTCCTCTCTCACCTTACCCCACTTTGACTACAGCTGTGTGGTGTATGATGGCCTCTTGGTGGAGCTCCAAGATACACTGAAAAGACTAATGAATAGATTTGTAATTGGTGCCCCGAGATACTCCCATGTCTCTCACCACTACACTGAGGTAAAGTGGCTCTTTCCCTCCTTTCGAAGACAATATTTCCTAGGTACGTTCCTTTATCAAATCATCAACAATCATCGTTCTTCTTACACCTACAATCTTCTCCAAATTAAGTCCTCAGTCCATTCCCTTTCCACAAGATTTCAACATTCTGACCTTTACAGCTCTTCTCACAAATCTGCCTCATTTCAAAACTCCTTTATTGTCAATTTCTGGAATTCCCTACCTATCAAAATTCGGCATTTCCCCTCCATATCCACATTCAAAACCCTCCTATTCAAATTTCTATCCCAAAAACAGTCAGATACTTGCTAAGTTTTTGATATTATACATTTCTATTATATCATTCATCATCAAATGATAGTACTATTTCATACTGTAAACTTCACTAGTGATAATACAATATCTTTCAACTCTTAATGCCACTGAATGCATCTATGGTTTTTTTAAATTTTATTCTTATACAATTAAATCTGTACCTATAGTTACAATAAGATAATAATATGTTTGCATATCATTCATTATTTAAATACTCTGGCATTTTATATTGTCAGATTCATCTTTTGTTGGTTAGCAGAAACACAGATCTTATTTTAAAGAAGAACTCAATGTATTTTTTTTCTCAAAAGGGCATAATTGTTTTTGTTTTTTTATTGTACATAGTTTTAAATGTCCTGTCATAGTTTGAAGTGTTTTGTATATAGATTCACTTTTTTTTTTTTTTTTTTTTTTTTTTTTTTTGTATATAGCTTGTTTAACTGATATTTTCTCAAACTTTTCTTTTTTATTATTGTTCTATTTAGGCCAGATGTAGTATTTTAATTCTGTACTATTTTGTTATTCTAAAGAGACTTTGCCCCAGAATAAAGTTATTTTCTATTCTATTCTATTATAAATTAATTAACAAGAGAATGTGTAAGATAAAAATAAAAGGGATGTTCTCTAATATATCCTCGATTATTGTACATGCCACAACTGAGGAAAAGGAAGAGGATGTTAAAGACGATTTCTATGGGATTTTCACAAGCAAGTTAGAAGAAATCCGAGGACAAGATATGAAAATCATTCTGGGTGGTTTTAATCTGAAAGTGGGCAAAGAGAATGTTTTTAGATCAACAATTAGGATGCAAGGCAAACACCAGGATTCAAATGAAAATGAGCTAAGATTAATATACTTTGCTACAGAAAATGGTATCAAGATAATGGGTACATATTTTAAGCACAAGGGCATCCACAAAAAAACCTGGATAACAGCACATGGTGACATTAAAAACCAAAGAGACCACATTCTAATACACAAAAGACAAACATTAAGTATTGAAGATAGAGACGTAGACTATGACAAAGATCTCTACTAAGTAAAATCTTCTTTCAAACATAAAATCTCTGCAATCTCAAGCAGCTATTAGAAATCTACAGGCATATAATGTGAGTAAACTGAAGGAAGAAGAATGTAGAACAAGCTTCTATCAAAAGGTGACTGAAAAACTAAAAAGTGCTTCTGATCCAACTAATAGCCTGACTGATCCAACTGATATAGACACCAAGTGGAATGCTATTAAAAACAGCTGGGGAAAAACAGAAGATGAGGTACAAGGAAGAAAAAATAGAGAGAAGAAGTGTGGATGGTTTGATGCATAATGCCATCAAGCACTGGTAGAGAATGACAAGAACAAGCCGAGATGAGTACTCTGCGAGGAGGAATGCCAAGAAAATCTTCTGTCAGAAAAAAATAATGTAACTAAAAATGCAGCTGAAGGATCTCAAGAATGACCCTAGCTCAAAGAATACAAGAAAGTTTTATAAGGTATTAAGGAAATAAAAAGAGGCTACCAACCAAGTAATGCGTATTGCAAGACAAAAGAAAGAGCCATAGTTAGTGAGCCTATTCAAATATTACAGAGATGGTCAGAATATTTCAGGGAAATTATAGTAGAGCCCAAGCATCAAGATAAAGAGGATAGAATTGAGCAGCTGAAATGATAACTGGCTGTACCTTGGAGAAGGAGATAAAGAAGTAGAGTCTGAACATAATTAAGCAGGTTGAAGAAAAAAATACAAGGAATACTATCAGGAGAATTGCAGTAAATAGTGGCCTGAGGCAGGGAGACTCACTATCACGTGATTTTTTTTTTTTTCAATTAAGTATTGGAAAAATCTATTAGGGCAAAATAAACAGACTCTAATGGGTAATTATCTATAACTCACACAGCACTGCAGAGCTTGAAGGAGCTTTAGAAGAGTTTAAAAGAGAAGCGGCAGAAGTGGGCCTTCATGTTATTGATGAAAAAATTAAATATTTAAAAACTTTCAGAAACCAACAACTGGAATACCACGCTTTGCAGATCGACGAACGCAGTTAAAAGTACAGGCCCTTTTAAGTACATTGGTTCTGTCTTAATAGATGACAACAGAATGAAAGAAGTGAATGCCCTGTATGCAGGTAACAAGTGCCTTTATGTCCTACAAAAACATTAAAGTTAAAAGCTCTTACAAAAAAGCTAAACTCCATATATATCAAACTATCTTAAACTATTTATCATTCTAATAAACATTTTTCTCCAGCATAATTTTATTTTTAAAAAATCATATACATATAAAAAGGAGTTTCACATGTGAAATTGAAATGCGCTTAACAAAAAGAAATACCTTTGTGGTTATAAATCAAAATTTAATTTATTATACGGTAAAATAATATTATAATGTAAGAATTAAAAATTTTAAAAACAAAATTAATGTTGAATTTTGAAAAGGACTATAAAATACCTAACAGTGTAACATACAAATTCTCATCTAAAGTTTTTGTTTATTTAATTAAGCAATTATGTTACTAAAACTGTCATTAGCAATAATTTCTGTATGAAAACTTTCTTTCTGAATAATTTCTTTCAGTAAATTAAATTTTTAGTTCACTCATTTTATTAATCTTTTTTATTGCAAACCCTGTTTGAGACTAAATGACAGATGTCAGGACAATTGGGATCCAGATTAGCAGAAATGAACTGTATAAACCGCAACAATGAATATTACTTTCCAAAGAAGCTATGTGAAATAAACAAAGCTTCTAGGGTCACTGACAATACAAAAGTTAAACTTTATAGTATTGACCCATTATACTTTTTTTATTATAATTTTTTTTTTCGGAGAAGGCTACCATACAAATAAAGTTGACCTCATATGGAACCACAGTATTGAGTTAAATTAGTACATACATTATGAAAAAGAAAAGAAAACAAGCGGGGTTACAGGGTTTAATACGATAACACAATGGAAATTAAGATTATGAGCATACAAAGTCATTAGACCAGCGACACAGGAAAGGAATGCCTATAGTACATTAGGGTGAAACTAAAATAATTTTCATTGATCAAGCTTCTTTCAGTGTAAATATGATGTAAGTACTTATAACTGACCAGTTCATTGCAATAATAAGTTGAAAGAAAAATGTCATGACATCTTTGGAAAAATAGGAAAAAATTCCTTTCAGCCAAACATATACAAAATAACTCATAATATTATGTGTAACTACTCTTTATATGTCTCTTTTACTTATACTATTAATAAAATAGATTAAACTGTATTGATTAGGCTTTAATTGATAAAAATTGTTTCCTTTTTCCCCCTCCCAAACTTAAAATTTCCCTAAAAAGGGAACTTTTCCACAAAAGTGGAAACACTGCTCTTCTACTACAAAGGAAATAATAAAAATTTTATCACCAGCTGTTTAAGATATAAAGAATCATTTAATTCAATTTTTTAAAGTTTTGTTGATTTAAAAGCTGATAAACTCACATGAATCGCCTCGAAAATTCCATGAACTAATCTTTTGGCGCCATATTACTCAGCTAAAATGATTTTTTCATAACTCCTAACAATGAAAAATAGTTATTATTTATAATAAACCAAATTAAAGGAACTTTAGAGGAAGACACGATAATGTTGGGATTTCACAAAGGGAAAATTCATCAAATTATTCACTAATTTAATTTTCTAAAAACTTACATGACAATTTTTCAGAATAAACGGACGTTGATACCTAATTATTTAAATATATAATATCAGATCTCGAATCAGTAAACTACAGTAAATGTATTTAAGGCTATAAACATATACTTTATAAATCCATGAAATGATTTTATATTTTACTTCTTATTTCATACAAGTACAACAAAATAGTTTTTTTATCAATGTTATTGCCTTGATTAGGTGGATTTTAAATACTTTTTTCAAACTAAGAATATTTTAAAAGTTTGCATTTAGTTAGTAAATTTCATTTAATTTCCTTGAAAACATGTGATTAACGTTAAATAATATTAGTTTTCAAAAATTATTATTTATAATTTTTTCGCCACTCTCCGTTACCTTCTACAACTTTCTATATTAGATATTGCTTTTTCTAAAATTCTCCGCTTTCCAACGATATATTATACGTATACCTTTTGACTAGTATTTCCGGAGATTCATTTTCGACCTGGATAAGCATTTTTATTTTTTTCTCCTTTATTCAATTATCAAATTCTTTCAAAAGTTATATGTAGCATTTTTTCTTAACTCTTAAAAATGAGAGATGGTTAATTACTTAAAATAAACCATATCAAAGGTACTTTACAGGAGGACATAAATGAACATTGGGCATTTAAGCCCTGTAAAGTGACATCAATGGGAATAAGACCTGATTGATATTAAAGACCACTTAATTATATAATGACACACCAAGTTTAATCAAAATCGTTAGAGCCTTTTTTGGAAAATTATAAAAATGTGTTTCAGCATTGATATAAAGTGGCACTTCCGGTCAGCCGATTTTACTGAAAAAGTTGCTGTCACATCTAAGGCATATACCTATCTTAAATACGTAATGTCAGTTTCATAGGAATTTTCGTTTTTGAGCTAGACTGCTAACATCACACACACACACACACACACACACCCACAAACACATGGACCATTTTGCGGGACTTGGTTATTTAGACTCAGGGTACCTCAAAACGTGTATTTCCGTTGAAAACTCAGTTTCAAAAATTTTCACGATCGCAGTATTTTCCTTTACTATATATTACATATATAGGTAAGTGAAAGTAAAAATGATACAACTATGAAATTCCATAAACAAAGCTTTTAGTATCTAAAATGCAGGTGAACAAACCAACCCATCAAAATTTGGCTAATTCAGGTATCATCAGGATAGAACCAACCTAAATCAGACATATACAGAACAAACATATCTCTAAACAATAGTCAAAAAAAGATACACTAAACAGAGGCAGCGAACCACCCCACAAAATCTAAATATACAAAGAAGACATTTTCAAGGTTTGGCATAAAATAAATAAATATTATATTTTATTTCAAATTATATATAATAAATTTATGAAATATCTACTATACCATGTTTGATTGTGAAATTGTATTTTCCACTTCGTGATGGTCGCTGTAATGATTCCCGAGATGCAGTTATCCTTGGGCTATCGTAAGCATCATCACTATCACTTCCTAAAAAAATTTTTTTCATCTACAAACATAATAACAAGTTGCTAACTGGATACTATAAACTATTACCTACTTATGATTATGACTTAAATAGGTAAAGTAAATACTAGTAGTAATAAAATATTAAATTTTAACAATATCAACGTGATTGGGAAACAAATAAGTAACTACAATTAGAGGTTTCAGCTCCATCCTTACAAAGCAATCATTCTTAAATATTGTTAGTATTATAATATTAGAGTAGTGTTACAAGAAAAATATTATGATTATTCACTTAACTGAACTACTCTACAACCTATCTCAAATCCGACAGTATTTTTATAAAAAGGGCCCCCCAAAACATAATAGTCGACCCTCATATCAATTAACTCCGAAAAGTTATAAAAAGTCGGTGCCTGTGGGCGCTATTGCAAATCCAACAGTATTTTCATAAAAAGCGCCCCTAAAACCCTGATATAGAAGAAATGCTAAAAACTCAAAAAAGTCTCAATACAGTGGCGTAGTCTTAAAATGGAGATCATTTTCAAAAACTATGGATCTGAAAATATACACATTGGCCCGTATATAGAAGAAAAATAAAATTAGCGTCAAATTATTCAAAATTTATTTGAAAAAACTCGAATACCAAATAAAAAGATAATAGATAACTTGAATTTATTTATTATCTAGATAAAAGATAAACAGAATTTATTTATTATCTAGATAAAAGATAAACAGAATTATTCGTTATTTGTAGTTGAAATGTTCGAATAAATTATTCGTTATCTATTATCTTTTATTTAAGATAAATTTTGCCCAACACTGCTGTGTGTGTATGTATATATATATATATATATATATATATATATATATATATATATATAATTATTAACTTTTTTCTTTCAGAATCAACTGAAACTTCTTCAATGTTTGCAGTTACACCATCATTTTCAATTAGTAGAATTTCGCGCACCTTTATATTTGAAAGTCAATATTTCTTTGTTAATATTCCTCGATATCGCCAACTTACGTGTTGAAAAATAATCTTAGAAACAAACAGGTTTGATTAATTAACCAGCCTCACTGCCTCACCGAATAAAGGTTATTTTTTTTTCATAATTTCAAACTTACCATGATGTCTACTAGATTTATACTTTTTCTTGCTAGTTTCTTGAGATCTTTTACGTGGACGTCTACCCTTTTTCACAGAAACTCGTCCTTCAGACTTTTTCATTCGTGATTCTATACGTACAACTGAAAACATTAACATATATGAACTTAATTCAAGATATAATGAAAGAAAACTAATGTATGAAGCTACTAATTTGCTAATTTAACAATAAATTAAAAGTTGAAATATTATTTAAAAAATAATTTTATTCTGGGACTGAAGTCCCCTAAGAATAATAGTAACATAGTACAAAACATAGATCCTTTAGTCTGGTTTGACAGAATATTAAGAGGGCATTTGAATGTTAATTTCAATTGTTATCACAATCATACCTGAATAACAATAGTACATTTTATATGGTTTAAATGCATAAAAAGAAAAAGTAAATAAATAAATGAAATAAAATTAAATGAAACTTATCGATTAATTGTTAGTGAGAAGTTGTAATTACAGAAATCAATAAATATAACATAGATACAGAAGTTTGAAAATGAAGTAGGTAGTGGAATAAGAGTTGTTTGAAGGAATTTAAGGTTAAGGACTGTCACATGGGGATGGGTAAAGAATTCCAGAAGGAGGTAGCACGAATGATGAAGGATTTGTTGAAGGATGTAGTTTTATGAGAAGGGATATATAAATCAATAGGTTGAGATCTGGTATTAATAGAGTGGATAGAGTAACAGAGAGTGAGGAGTTCCATGATATAGGGAGAATTTTCGGTTGTTAGGACTTGTAAGAGGAAAACATCAAGAAGGAATTATCAAGCCGCTTTACTGCTGCCAGAATTTCTGATGGTGTTGGCTCAGTATTGCGACTTTGATCTGGGTTTTCACCACCTGATGGAATCTTTTTAGGCTGGTCGCAACTTGAACATATCCATCCTTTTTTTGAGGATTGTTGAGCCTCAAACTCTTTATCACTGAGTTTACCGCACCTGCTGTGAAATAATAGTTTACATTTAGCACAACATAAAATACTTTTCTCTTCTCAACTGATGGTGCTGCTGCATAGCAGGCAATGTGCCATATTGTTATATAGTAAATAGATCGTACTTTCAATAACAAACCGGGTTGTTATGATGCGTAAGAGCAACAGCAGAGCTTAATCCTCTAGAGCTCAGTTGTTTACCTCTATCCTGTAGCTTGTGGTAGTATAATAAACTTCAATACTTTCACTTTTCGATGAGTAGAAAGGAAATAAGAAATGTCTATAATTTCCAGTGATATAGAATATTAAAATGAAAAAAAAAATGGCAGAAATCAACGAAATTTAAACGAAATGAAACAATTAATAATACAAAGGTATGTTAACTGATGACTGTCTCTGGCCAGTCTGATGACAGACTATAATATGCAGATAAAAATAATTTAAAGCAAATTAATAAGAAAAATACAAACATTTGTGTATCTAATAATAAAAAATTCTCGTTTATTATTTTCATTAGTGAAATAAGAAGAAGAATACTTCAAAGAATTTGTTTAAACAGAACCTTTTTATTAATTAACACTTTAATGACCAAGCCATTCGAGTGAATCTTTCTCTGTAGAACAAATAGGTTTTCTCTCTCAAAAGTTGTAATAAAAAAGTATCATTCATTTTTTTTAAGTTTTAAAAATAATATAATCACAATAACTTAAAAAAAAAAAGAGCAGGTGCATGTGTCTGCCATTTCCATAGGGATATAAATTAGTAAATTAGTAGTAAATAAAATAAAGTACGGCGCCGTACTTTCCCTTTTCCCTATTTAAAATCGATAGAAATGGTCATACAAAAAAGGCGATATACAATATGAAATTAGATTCCAGGCATTTTTATGACAATAAAAAGGTAAGTCCAACCCAAAGCTATAAATATTTTCACATGGACCATAGCTGTCATTCTTCACAGGTAATTTAATGTTTTATCTGCGCATTGAGTCCTGGAACAAGCTTGTTTGTGGATCTCAATGGCGGGTTTATACACCCTCTGTAGTCATTAAATGGTTTAACTTTAAAATGGCTACAAGGCTAAAATATATAAATTTACATGCCATATGCTTCAAACACATACGTAACAAGAGGGAAACCTCTTTATCATTAACATATCACTGTTCACATAAATTATTTAATGCAATAGTTGTTTACTACTAATGGATCAATAAATATTGTTTCAGAAATAATAATTATTAATTCAGAAACGGAAATAAATTAATTAAATATTTATTAGAAATATTGTTAAACATAGGTAATCCCTGAAACTAAACTAAATGAAAGTAGGCACAAACCTTCATCAGAATTTCTAGTTTTTAAAGGAACTGGTTCAGCATCATAATCATCATTGACACGGGTTTTCATAGTAACTGCTACAGACGATGGAGAGAGTTCTCTTTCCCTGTACAAACATGATGTTTATATGAAAATTAACAGATATCAACCATTTTAAAGTTCTTTGAAAATTGTTTTTATTGTCATCAGTAGGGACTAGATTTTTGTATAAAATGAAAAGCTAAATAAAAGCTTTATAAACATGTAATTATATTTTCACAAATTCATAACAAAACATGAAAAATATGAGAGAACACAAGTTCTGAAAGTCAAAGGGGGGAAAAAAAATACACTTATTTAAGAACAATAAATTACAAAAACTTAATATAAATAATACTTAAAGGGACCAGATTTTATGTAAAATAATACTTGAGATATGTACATTTGTATGTATTTTATTTTTAATAAATTAATGTGAACATAAAAAAGATTAATAAAATTTAAATATATCCCATTCCATTGCTACCCTCAAACAGTTCCTAAGATTCCGTGATTCCATGCCCCTTAAAATACGTCATCTCCTAGTTTCCTCACTAATTTTCTCTCATTTCGATTATTTCTGCCTTGTATATGGTGGACTGTCTGGTGCCCTTGAGATCAGATTAAAGAGACTGATGAATTGTTTTATTAGATTCATTTGTGAAGTCCCCAGGCGCTCCCACGTCTCCAGTTGGTATGGCGAGTTGAAGTGGCTCTATCCAGTCTTCAGATGGCAATTCTTCCTAGGTGTATTCCTTTTTCGAACCTTTTCAACCTTTTTTTTTTTTTTTTTTTTTTTTTTTTTTTTTTTTTTTCCCCCTACCTGGCCATTTCTGGCATACGGGGTTCGGTGACAGTAGGGTAGTGCACATGGGATTTGCGCATGCCACTGCCACCAATAAAATCTTCTTTTTTTTTTTTTTTTACTCTTTATTTATATGTTTATATTTATACATGCTTTTGGATATTTATATTTTTGGGGACAATATAGGGTATCTGTGGTGCAGCCCAGCGTGCGGTTGCACGCTTTAGGAAGGGACTGCACCTTCTCTTTCTTCTTCTTCTTCCTCCGTCGCTTCCTCTACGGCCTCCGGCGGGCGTCCTCTCCCAAGGGTGAAGTGCTCCGGGCCCACCGCCTCCTTCCATCTCCTGATGTACTCGGTGAAGTAGGGGTAGAAGTCCTCGCTCATCAGCCTCGGTAAGTCCGCCTCTTCCATCGCATATAGCCCTGTCATCCTTGATAGCCAAGCTCTGTGCCCAGCCATCTTTTCGCAGCTCAGGACTACATGCTCCGCCGTGTCCGGAATCCCACAAGTGGGGCACAAGGGGTTGATGTTCTTCCCATGCTTGTTCAGCTTGGCTCTGAAACCCCCGTGCCCCGTAAGGATCTGAGACGTCCAGTAGTCAGGTCTCACCCACTTCGCCTCCATTCTGGAACTGACGGTGGGGAAATACTTCCTGAGGGTAGAACCCTTTTCGCTTCTCACCCACCGCTCGTTCCACTCCCGAAGTGAGTCCTCCTCCACCAGCCTCTTCCATCTTCCTGGCTCCTCCTCAGCCCTTTGCCGTAATCCCTCCGGAAGCGAACCGAGTCCGTGTCTTTTGACATCGAACCTGATTACGTCTTCCTTTAGGATCAGGTCAATGGGCATCTCTCCAGCCAGCGAACCTTTTCAACCAAAAAAAAAAAAAACAAAAAAAAAAAAAAAAAAAAAAAAAAAAAAAAAAAAAAAAAAAAAAAAAAAAAAAAACCCTCTTACATTCTCGATTTGTTTACTCCTTGTTCCTTTAGTCTGTGGGCCAGACCCCCTTATCGTGTACCCCCCCCCCCCACATCCCTATAAATTGCATATCGTTGTGTTCCTTGTAACTATTTATTTTAAAAAAGCCAATGATCCCACAAAAAAAATGAACACACTTCTCCAAAATGGCATCCAAAGATGGCGGATTGATGACTTTGACTTTAGTTAGTTTTTTGATCACTGAGAATCAGCACTTGGCTTAATTTTCTCATGGTTGTTCTTTTATTAAAGCTGAATCTATATCTATCTATACTGGCTCTACAACCCCCTTAGCGAGTCATGATCTCCGCCAACAGCATCCGCCAGGTGTCCCTACTTTGTGCTGCCACCATCCACTCTCGAATTCCTAGCTTCCTGGCATCTTTGTCCATGCTGTCCCTCCATCTTAACTTTGGTCTTCCTATTCGTCGCGCTCTATGCAGGATTTCAACCAACACCTTCTTTGGAATCATGTCGTCTCTCATTCTGGGCACATGACCTGCACATCTGAGACAGCCTGCTCTTATAAAATTAGCAATATTGGCCGCATTAAAACGCTGGTAGATCCTCCTTCTCCACTCTCCATTCACACATACTGGACCATAAATTCTTATTAGAATTTTCCGTTCGAATATTAGGAGGTCCAGCTCAGCTGCCTTGGTTATCATTCAGGTCTCTGATGCATAACTTAAAACCGGTCTGATAAGGGTATTATAAAGGATTACTTTGCTACGGTCAGTCACCAGATTGCTTTTCATATGTTGACTCATACTATAATAGCAACGGTTGGCCAGAAAAATCCTCTTATTTATCTCTGTGTCCATCCGGTTATTAACACTGATCTACGAGCCCAGGGATGTGAATTCTGATACCTGTTCAAACCTGAAGGATCCAAAACTCACCCTAGTGCCATGTCCTGGGGTCTCCTGGGATACCAAGTATTTCGTTTTTTCCTCATTTACAGTAAGGGCGAGTTTCCTTGCTGCAGCCTCCAGGTCCAGAAATGATTGTGCAACCGCTTACCGAGAACGTCCAATAATGTCTATATCATCGGCAAAAGTTAGGAGCTCAACAGTCCTATTGAAGATGGTGCCAGATGTTTATATTTGGGACTCACGAACTGCTTTTTCTAGGGCCAAGAGAAACAGGAGGCATGCCAGAGCATCACCCTGCCTTACACCCCTTCTCGTAGAAAACTCCTCCGATAAGTTGCCCTTTATTTTAACAACACACACCACCTCGTCCATTGTTAACTTGGTCAGCCTGATAAGCTTGGAGGGGATGTTGAATTGGCGTAATGCATCGTATAGCTTTTGATGGTCGATCGAGTCGTAGGCTGATTTAAAATCAACGAAGAGGTAGTGAGTTTTCAGCTTATATTCCTGTCCCCTTTCCAGGATAGTCTTCAGACAGAATATCTGGTCGATCGTTGACCTTCCTCGTCTGAACCCGCACTGGTACCGTCCAATCTCTTGCTCCGCAAACGGCAATAGTCTGTGGAACAGGATGTTTGATAGAATTTTATAGGTACATGGGAGCAGAGCAATACCGCGATAGTTAGAGCATTTCAATAGGTTTCCCTTCTTGTGGATCGGGCATATGATTGTCTTCTTCCAGTCTGTAGACATTATTTCCTCAGCCCATATGCTCATCCATAAGTTGTGAAGGAGCTTGAAGAGTTCATTACCTCCATGCTTAAATAGTTCTGCAGGAAGCCCATCAATTCCTGGAGCCTTATTATTTTTTAGTTTGTTGAGGGCCTCACTTACTTCGTCTTCATCAGGTGGTTCCAGGTCATCCGTTCCATCCTGACCGAAGGGCAGCTCCGTCCCTTGACTATCTATGCTTTGACCATTCAAAAGCTCCTTGAAATATTTTCTCCATTCTGCTAGGCAGACTTGTTTCTCCGATAGGAGAGCTCCCTGGTCATCCATACACTTTGAAGGTATTTGTTTGAATGGTCTCCTAGTGCTATTAACTCCTGCTATCTCCAATAGTCCTTGATTCTTCCAGGTCCATCAACTCTTGGATAATTCCTTCTCTCTTCTTTACCGGATGCAGCCTCTTTTCTTCCTATAGTCTTCGACTGTACTTTGTGTGCGCCTGTTGATCATCAGCTGGTATGCTGCATTTTTAACTTCTGTAGCTATTCAACAGTCTTCATCAAACCAGCTTTTCCTGTTTTCCTTTTCAGCATGCCCCAGTATGGCTTCAGCAGTTTGTTCAATGGATTTGCGACAGCTACTCCAAATGCCGCCAACACTGTCTTCCGGGTCCTCCATGTATCTTAACTGTGAGTTCAGAGCTGCGGCATATGCCTCCCTAGTCTGAGGTTCTTTAAGCTTGTCAATGTTAAACTTTTATGGTTTTGCCCTGACCCTGGGTAGGTTAATGGCAATTCTTGAAGCAACATGGGCGATACTGAGGAAATAGTCAGAATCAACGTTAGCGCCTCTGAACACTATGACATCAGTGATGATACTAACGTGCCTGTTGCTTACGAGGAGGTGGTCAATCTGGTTGACTGTGAGCCCATCAGGTGATGTCCAGGTACCTTTGTGAATGTTTTTGTGCAGGAACGCTGCACTTAGAATTTTAAGGCTTCGGGAAGCAGCAAAGTTGATTAATCGCCGGCCGTTGTTATTGCTCTCTTCATGCAAACTGTGTTTACCGATGGTTGGGAAATAGATATCCTCCCGACTGACTTTAGCATTAAAGTCTCCAGTAATGATTTTCATATCGTGGCAAGGTAGGGAGTCCAGCGTAATGTCGAGCAGGTCATAGAAATCATCCTTGTCTTCATCATTAGTTTCTTCAGTTGGGGCAAGTACACTAAGGATTGAGAAGTTATAAAACCTCCCACGAACCCCAAGCACAGATATTCTTGGACTTACTGGCTCAAATCCGATAACTAATCTTCTGAATGATTTCCTTATGATGAATCCCATCCCAAAGGTGTGTACCCGATCGTTGCAACTGTAGAATACCTTGTGGTTTCTTTTCTCTGGCGTACCATGGCCTATTCACCGGATCTCTTGGATGGCGGTTATGTCCAAATTGTATTTATCTATTTTGTTCAAGAGCACATTGAGTGCTCCGGGTCTATACAATGAAAGAATATTTCAATGTCCAAAATTGAGCCTATGACGTTTGCCGGGTCTTTTGCTTGGGGTTTCTTGATGGTTGAGTTTTCGGACAGTGGGGCTATCGACCCTACTACGTGCCCTAGTCTCCTGGTGGGACTGCCACCTTAGGGGAGGTGACCCTAGGGTATGTACTGTTTATGACCTTCGTCTGTAGTGTGTGGGTGTATGTAGTGTGCTGTAGATTGTGTACTGTGTGGATGTCAGTGTACTGTTCCCTCAACCTGGAGGACCAGTGGCTATTTGCGGTACAATGACTGGGCGATGGGGCCGCCACCTCTCTACGCCTACTTATTAAAGCTGAATAGTCAGAGAATAATAATTGGCAGCTAAATATAGTGGAAGGATAATGCAGTTAAGTTTTAAAGGCAAATTGAGTAAGACAAAATATTTTTTGTAATTTTGAAGCAGGTCTTAATCGAAGGAGTCAAAAAATCTGTATTTACCTCGGTTAAAAGCCCATATAATTAACCCATTCCCCCATTCTTCCCCAGTTCAACTTTCTTTAACTTGCTGAGTAGTAAATACTATTTTTTAAACAGGAATTATTGATAATAAAGTCACATGATTATATAACTAAACTAATATACAAAAAATAAATTTGTAATTACTGTAATGGTGATGTACATGAAGAAACACTACTATCAGGAGAAGCAGGAGGAGAATGATCCTCTACTGTAATTTCTTTTTCAGAAATCTGTTGGTTTAAACAATTATTTTCCTTGAGCTTTTCACTGAGAGGAATTTCTTCATCATTATCAACATCAGTAATAACTAATATATCTTTGACTTCTTCTTCCTATAACAGAATCACAGATTATTAGATAACTATCATTAGATATTTTTCTTGGAAAAAACAAAAAGTAATATACTGAAGAGTAAAATGTAATTTCATATAAATAATCAATTTAAATTAATTGGATGTTTAACAACTACATTAATCTTAAGATGCTGAATGCAGTAATAACATGTGGTTTCCTTTATTCTGCTTCAAGATAAAACATTTTACTTAGTACAAACTCATAATGTCTAACTCAGTGAAAAGGTCATTAATTGAATTCCCCAACTAACAATTTCCTAACATTAAATAAAATTTATACACAGAAAAAATAATCCTACTCATAAGAAAGAGAATATATCATCAAGCAATGTTTTTCACAGAATTTACGTTTTGATATCAAATAAACAACTATCAATATTTGATATCAACTATCGAATGGAATAAATCGCAGCATGTAGTTAGTTGTTTATTTTGCGTTTATACTTTCATCATGCTTCGATTTTTCATTGTTATAACCATGAAAACCAGAGAACTATTAGACTATACCAAATGTAGTTTATTTAATACTTATTAGTCGGTAAGTATGATATTCCAAAGAAAAATTCAATAACATTAATCTTCTTAAGATTTGTATATATTTATTCAAAATATCTGTAAATTCCGTTAAGTTTTTGTAAAAACACTGAAAATTTGTTTTGTTTTTTAAGGGTTAAATCAAGGAAAACTGGAGAAAATAGTTATTGGCTTATGTTATAGGGATGTTAAGGAAAGATAATAAAACACGAAAATAGTGATTGGAACACTTTCATTTTTAGGGTTTTTTCCGCCTCTGAACCACTGTGCGTTGTGTCTATGAGGGCGCCACAGATTAGGAACAAACATTAAAACCAATTAACAGGAAACTTAATTTAAATAAGAGTTGATTAAGAAAGTATATTTAGTCAAAAAGTTTTTAAAACAAATCCTCATACAATAGACTAATTCTAAATTATTTTTTAATATGCAAATTACTATAAGCTGGGTTGATATTTGAAATGTATCTCTACTTAATTATTTAATTATCTTTCTCTATTTAAACATTATGTAATAGGGTATTAGCTGATTTGGGATGGAATGGGGAAGGGAAAGGGGCGTTCAGAAAAATATCGCCCACACAATGGAACACTGGTTACATGGAAAGTAATGTTAATTTTGATGTTAAATTTTTTAGAAATAATAAACTATTGTGTAATAATTTTCAGCGCATTTTAAGTTTGATTAGGATTATTCATTTCAGAAAACTAAACTTTTAGTAATTTATTTTTATTGCCTTTATTTTATTTCCATAAGCTGAGAGGAGGTAAAAGTTGATACTTTACATATAAAGCTCTGATTTTCTCTATTAAAAAATAAAGTGAGCTAAGGGGGTTCTAATATCAATGTAGTTTATCATAAGTAATTAAGTTTCTTTATTACTATAAACAGCATAATAATTATCCATGACACCAAATGTGACATTTGTGGTTAATAAATGCTCTTTCAAGGAGCACCATGGGTCAAACAAATAAGTCACATGAATTCATAGTCAATTTATTCATGTGAATTAACTAAAAATATAATGCAAATATGCAATAAAGTTGATGTTCGACCGGACTCAACATTTTAAGATCGAAAAATTTTCTGATGGACATTTATCTATAGACAGAATTACCATTAAGAAGTTCATTACTTTATAAAAAAAAAAAAAATGGCCATAGATGAATATATTACAAATAGCAAATAGTATTACTGTTTTTCTTTTCAAAAAAAGCACTGTTTTAAGTCTATTTTTCTTTAATTTTTTTCATTACACTTGTTTGACTGTCAATATGCCATTATTGAAAATCAAAGGTGAATGAATATAGCGACCGTTGTCATTTATAACGAAAAAAGTTTACCCTTTCAAGGTCATTTATAAACGATATCCACAGCATATTTATTTCTAATTTGAAAAAATATTTACATACTAAAAGAAATCCCTAACTTTAACAATTTTCTCCAGATTTTTCCCTGCTATGAAAATTCCCTGACTTTTCCCATTTTTTCAGATTTTCCGGGTCAGTTGCCACCCTGTATGACGCATATTGAGTAATTGGTTTTGTGTAGTTGGAATAAATTATATTTTCCAGTTGGTTGTTTTAATGGAATTGTAAATAAGGTAGACAAACAATATAGCTATTTGAAAACCAAGGGAAATTATTAAATGTAAAAAAATGAGACATGTTTCAACAGGTGAAATGCATAAACTGCTCTAGAGTGAAGTCAGTTTAGCAGAGTGAGTCCAGTATCAACTAGAAGGCTGGGGGGACGCCATGCCGCTTGTACTTGATACACTGAGGGTTAGATATTTTTATCTGATACTTGGACTTTATACACTGAGGGTTAGATACTTTTATCTGATAATTGTATTTGATACAGTAAGGGTTTGCTGCTTTTATCTAATGCTTGGACTTGATACACTGAGGATTAGACACTTTAATCTGATACTTGGATTTGATACACTGAGGCATAGATACTTTTATCTGATACTTGAGCCGTATTCATACTGGTGCTAGTGCTTTATAACTCGATAATTTTATCGGATACTGGGGCTAGATATTTTTGTCTTATTACCAAGCCATATTCTTTCAAATAAAGAGTATCCAACTGTAATTGATTACAATCGGGTTTGATATTTCTAATATCTACCTGATATCTTATAAAACATATTAATTATGTATCTATATATATTTTATTACTTAAGTATTAAATTTGTCCCTGTAATAAATACTTGACACCATTTTCAAATATAATAGTTTTAATGACTATAAAATTGTCAGGTACTATGCAGATATTTATACAATTTTTGAAACAAAATATGCTTTATATTTGACAAAAGGATGGAATATATTTAATTAAAAATAAAAATAGACAAATTCATGCAGAGAAAAATTTTTCATAATAAAAGATTCTGAAAAATGTTGTAACAATAAAAAAAAAAAACTCTTTATAACTAAGTTTAACATATACAAATATATGAGTTTATATATATATATATATATATATATATATATATATAAAACAAACATAACTTAAATCGACATATAATAATTAATTTCACTGAAAAGAAAGACTGTAGACTTTATAAAAATAAACATTTATTTTATTAACATTACGGTAAACATAATTACATTAAAAAAAAATTATTCAACAACTTCAATAAAATTTCAATTAAAAAAACAAGCTAACAGGTACATATTTATGTCAATATGTTTTATACATACAACTTTGCATAAATACTGTAGGTAATGACAAATTACTGATTCATTTGTAATAGATACAAAAGTATCTGATACCAAAAAGTAGCAGTATCAGTTATATGTAGATACAAATATTCTTATATCAAACCATATCTAAACATGACAAAATTTACTTTAAATGCAAGTAGAGTTTGTTTTTTTTAAAAACCACTTACAGGGGACTTTCAAATGGCTAAACTGAGCTAAGCTCTGTTTTTCATAAAATAACTGATGATTCACAATTTTTTAAATCATCTTTCAACTCAACTACAGTTATTTGATCACTTAATACAATAAGCATCAATCGTGACAGAGATTTGCATAAAACATTTGTGGATTACGACTTAAGTGATCAATTTTTTTAAAAAGCATTACTTTTTTGAAATAGCAAGTATATAAAAAGAGGATTAAATAGAAAATAATGAGATATTTAAGCCAAGCCTGCTAAACTAATATAGGATTCTTTAATATAATTAATAAATTTCATAATTTTAAACATCGGATTTAGTTTTTAAAAAAAAATACAACATGAGAATTGTCGAGTTAGTGAATTTTTATTAATGGCAACGTACCTGAATATCTGAATGAGGATTAGGGCTTCCAGGAATAATTTCTTCATCACATAAAAGAGATATTAAAGTTTGCTCTTCCTCATCCTCATCTTCAACTTCTTCCTCCTGTTCATCTTGTTCCTCTTGTTCCTCCTCTTCCTCTTCCTCCTCCTCCTCCTCCTCCTCCTCCTCCTCCTCCTCTTCTTCCTCTTCCTCTTCCTCTACATCATCTACTTCTTCCTCTTCTTCAATATTATCTTGCTTTAAACTAGAGTCTGAATTAAATTTTTCTTCTAGTTGTATTTCCTCGATAATTGTTTTTTCTTCAGGAAACTGATTTTCATAAACTTCTTCTTTCATAGTGATTTCTTCAGATGTTTCCAATGGCAAGTCATCTTTACTTTCAGTTGCAAATAAGTCTTCCTTTTTTGGCGTCTGAAAAATAAATGTAATAAAAAATTGAGAAAACATTCAGTCACCATTTTGTCACACACACAAACTAGGTCAGAAAGGGTAGATTATCCTGCATGCTTTCAATCTATTTTAGGCATAGTTGTTTGGGTTTAGGATGATTTTGAACAAATCCAAAAAGTTTAAACTGAAGACATTTTTGTCTTAAAACAACCATAGTTATTGATTTCACAAATTGTAACCATATTGTTAGCCGCTAACATGGATGGGTCTGAAAAATTAAGACTGCTCATAATAGTTAAGTCTACAAAACCTAGATGGTTTAAAAATTTAATGTCTTTTCCAATGACTTATCGTGTCAATAAAAAAGCATGGATGACAGGCTAAAATCAGTATTTTTAATTTTTACTCCCTATTATTAGAAATTACAATAATTTGTATTTTACTCTATACATTTTTTTTCTCTGGGTTATAATATTATATTAGTATCAATTTATTACAAGTGAGTATAATTTGAAAATTTTTAACTTAACACTTATGTTTTCATTTTTATAAATAAAAATTTTAATATGTTATGAAAGTATTTTTGCAAAACAAACAAAAAATGATGAGAATGTAACACAGGTTATAATAAACTGACAAAAACAAACAGATAATTTGGTTTAGGGATAATAAATTATTTATAGAGGTTAATAGCTAAATTAAAATATTGTGTGTAACTACAGATGGATAGATATACTGTGAATAAAGCAACTAATCTATTAAGGCAGCATGTCTTAAAAATTAATCAATTTTCTCTTACCAGAGCTGTACAAAAATTATCTTATCGACAATGCCAATTAAATTTTAATCACAAAAAACAATCATGGCAAATGAATATTTGTTTATTCATTTGACGTGATTAGAAATCTGCTAAAAAGGTGTGGCAGATATATTCGAAAGAAAAGTAAACACATATATGGCCCTGTGAAACATGAAGAAGATAAAAAAAATACAACGCTTCCCTACCGTTGGTAGTGAGGAAGCAAAAAGAGTGAATCATATACCTTACTTAATGAGCCTAATATTGAGATAATTATCAAGATCAGTAGGTTATAATGGACAGGCCAAGATGGGGCATATGAGATCTGAAGAAAGAAACCTTGATGAGGAACTTTACGGAACCAACGTAGAGGCTAGCCAAAGCTTCAATTGGCAGATAAAGCTGAAGAAGATTCAAGGAGTTTGGAATTAGAGGGCTGCTCCATTAAAATTGTCATGTTTAATAGAATTTTAATTTTGATTGAAAATTTCAACAACAAATTTAGTAATTTTTTTAGTCAAATACATTTTTAACCAACCAATGCTGAACTCTGCCTCTCACTTAATATTGCAATACAATGGCGTTAATGAAGTAACCATTTGATTATACTATTTATGGATTATTATACAAAGCAAATGGATTGCTTTCTGTAATATATTGATGTATGTTACTTCTTAAAATATTAAGTGATTATAAAAATTTGAAATTACAGCTTAAGTTATTAATTATTATAAACTGCAAACTTACCGACTCAGAAGTAAGATATTTTGGAGATGTTTCAACTTCTTCAGTTTCTATTTCTTCTTCAGATTTTTCACAAATAATGGGACTTTCTTCATTAACTCGTGCAGAGTCCTCTACTGACTGCTCAGTAAAATCATATTCATACTTAAAAGTTGAAGATTTAATATCATATGACTTAAGACATGAATTATCTGGCTCAATATTTGACTGATCAACATCGAACTTAGTATTTTCAGAATGAACTTTTAAAATTTCACCATCATTTGTATCATCAGATGATTCTTGATTAATAGCACGCTGGATTGCAACATTAAGAGCTTCATCTTCTACTTCATCCTTCCAATCTTCTTTGTTAAAATGATCTTTTGTCTCTTCTTTATCAGTTTCAATCTGAAGTTCATACTGCTGGGGATTGTTTCTCTGTATTTCTAAAAAGGAGGTTTTTATTTCCTCATGATATACACTGTTATCTTTTTGGTTGGTATTACTTAGATTGCTGTCATCACTATATCTTTCTGATATAACCAGTCTATCTTGACTATCATCATCCAAATTGTCTTCAACGTGGTCATTAACTACTTGTTCCTCAAAAAGAGGAACTACCTCAGTAGCAGCTCGAAGTGGTGAAGCACATATTTTATCAAAAGCTTCTTCACATGTTTCTATTCCACCATATTCACTTTCTGAAGCTTCAAATTCTTTTGTAACACTGTCATCATTAGAATTTATTTTCTTAGAACAACTGTAACTAGGTGAACTAATTTTTTTTTTACGGCGTGGAGAATGTTTTGATTCATCTAAATATCTATTCAGGGTTCTACGTTGCAACTTATTCTTTTCATCAGCTATTTTTCGACTTTCAAACTCAAAAGGCTCCGGTTCTTTGAATTCATAAACATCCTCAACTTCATGTTTCAAAGAGACATCTATTCCAACTTCTGGATCAATATCAATATTTTCTTCGTCTTCATTTTTTGGAGTGATATTGGACACGGCTGTTTCAATACCTTTTAATTCTGACCGTATCTGATTTAAATCAAAATCACGGCCTTTAGGAGGATTATCTGACAATAATTTCAACTTTTCCGACACTTCTGTTAGAATATTATCCTCCTTGTTATCAACATTCTCTATTTCACCTTCATCCTCAGCAATTAGAAGGAAATTTTCTTCATCAGAAGACACATCAAATCCTGCAAACTTCTGAGGTGTATCACAGGACACAGTATTTGATTCTGGAGTATTACTAGATAATTCATTTATATCATCACATTCTTTAAGAACCGGTGTCTCCGGAGTTGATTCTTCAATTAAATCAACCTTTTTTATCATTTTTTTCTTAAGCTTTTGGTGTTGGAGTTGATCACATTCATCGTCAGACTTAGGTTCCTTTTCATCAATATCAATTGATTTCCTTTTTTTTGCTCTTTTTTCATTTACATCTAACTCATCTTGCTCTACAACTAAATTAGCTTTTTTCTTTGGATAAACAGATTCAATGTCAATATTGTCACTCTCATATTCTTCATTTTCAGACACAGAAGCAACTAAAACACACAAAAAACTAAGTAAATGCCAAATCCAAAATATGTAAGAATAAAAGCCAAGTGAACATAAAATATCAACAATGTAAGTTCAAATTTTTATTGTGCTAGATTGCATTTAGTATTATGAAATGTTTATATATTTAGTTTTAATGAGTTTATAATAATTCATTACTAATTTTTTGGTGACAATGACAAAACTAAATGCTATTGAAATATCAAATGTATTTAATTTTTGAGTCATATTGAATATTTAATATCAAATGTATGTAAGTATAAGCATGCTAATGCAAGTAACATAAAAATGTAAAAACAACAATTCCAACAAAAAACAATTCCTCGCCATTAAGGCTATACGGGGTTTTCCCGAGCCAGGGATTTAAAAGACGCCTTGGCACCGGGACGCGAACTCATGACTATTTTGGTATCATTTTTCATATATCAGGTTGTGCTGTTCAGATTGTTCATATAACGGTGGTGCTGTGCACAACAGGTTAGCCCATTCGGCCACCCCGCCCACTAATTCTGAATATGAACTATCAAGTTTATGTTACAACAGGATATTAGTTATATTAATGATACAGATGCTCCATCCCAAAAAAATTAAGAGCAATCACTTTATCCCTATGTATATACTGGTAGGCACAAATGCTCATGTATAGAGAGACAATAAGATTTTAAGTTCTAATAATTATAAAGGTTTATAATAAGCCTTATAATAATCCTGGTCTATGCAATACTTTTTAGGTATACTTTATATGCAATACTTTTTAGGTATACTTTATATGCAATACTTTTTAGGCATACTTTATAGTAAAATAATAAATGCTACACATTTATTCAAATATTAACCTCTTTTATTAGATGCCCTGGTAACAGCTCTTGTTCCCTTCAATTTATCTGAAAAAGGCGGACTAGAGCATGTAACATTATCCAATTTCACATCATTACAAGGGTCAGCAGATTCCTGATCAGTTACATTACTTTCTAGTTCAACTTTAATATTGACATCATTTATGGCCTTTGCTCCTTGACCACTTCGTTTTCTTCCACCCTTTGGTGTCTGTAAAATAAATAAAATTTTATCAAACATTATCTGTATTAATAAAAACGTAAATATTTATTTGTTTAAAACCACTAATCTCTGAAACTTCTTTACCAATCGCTTTGAAATGTTGACATAATGTTTCTATCGCATTCAGGAGTGTTTTTATGTACATTTAATCACCCTCCGGTCTTTCGTTTCGGAATGGCGGCCCAAAAACCTGTGTCGCTATTTACTGCAGCGCCTAAATGGCTGTAACGATTTTAATAAAACTTGGCTAAAGTCTTCTCCTTGAAGCCCTTTTAATTTATGTATATAATATCCTTCTCCGAAAAGAACATGAAAAAAAAGTTATGATGGATTCAAAACTATATTCGCGAATAACTCAAAAAATATGCAATTTTTGTTTAATTATACCCCTCATTATTTGAAAGCTTTCTTGATTCCCTGCAGATCAAAACAATAATCTCTAAAATCGGATGATTTGGTGGAGAGATATAATGATTTAAACATTTAGTAATGTTTCGTGGAAGATTCGGAAACCAATTGCTTCTTATATAGACCATTATATGTTGCAAATTCTAGAATTGGAAAACCAGACAATCTCTATATCTATACAAAGAATGGAATAACAATGAATATCGCATATTCACAAGTATTGTTACATAAAATATATTAGAAACATCCAATTTCTTTTCTACTTCTTTTTTTATTCAACCAGAATTAGCCACAGCAACGCATGGCCGGGTACAGCTAGTATTATATAAAATATTTGACTATGATAGCAATAAAATTAACCCTTGATTGGCAAGGAGAGGTTAAAGAGGTGGGATCACTGATTTCAATAATGCATTTTTTTGTGACACAAGGAAAACAAAATAAACACATGTTCAAAGGTTCTTGCCAATGCATTCTAGGAGCTGAGAAAAAAACTTATATTTATTGTTTTCTTCAATAATAAATATAAAATAGTTAACATTTTTCATATTATTATTTAAAACATTTGTATATATTTTTAATTAATTAATGTTCTGTTGGTATGTATTATTTATTGAATATTTATATCATTTCCCTTCATTGGACATTTGCCTACTGGCGAGCTATTCAAACACAAATAAATAATTTTGTTTAGATAAAAAACAGAAAGCATACTAAATAATGAATATAAATTGTGAGGTTCTCTGTTAGTAAGTTGGATAAGATTTCTATGACATAACTGGATATAAGACATACCAAATAATGAGAACAAAACAGAAGAGTTTTATTAATAAGTTATAATATATATATATATATATATATATATATATATATATATATATATATATATATATATAATGAAATGAAATATATTATAATCACACACAAACTCCATCGGACTTGATGGGATACCAGTCAAACTATTAAAATTATGCCTTCCCGAAGTCGTTCCAGTTCTCCTTTTCATCTATAATTTTTCCCTCCAGAACTCAGTTTTTCCAACTGCTTGGAAAAAAGCATTAGTCAGACCTATCAACAAAATTCCCAATCCTACCTCTCCTAGAGACTACCGCCCAATCTCCATTCTTTCTAACCTTTCTAAACCTCTGGAAAGAATAGCTCAATCCCAAATCTCTAAATTCCTTGAAAACTCAAAACTACTCGATCCTCTGCAATCTGGTTTCCGACCTGGCTTCTCCACACAATCCGCCCTACTAAAAATTACCAATGACTTACATACCGCAATGGACGAAAAAATGTTAACTGTATTAATACTTCTCGACTTTTCCAAAGCTTTTGACTCCTTAGACCACTCTATACTCTATACTAAATTAAAATCTCTATCCTTCTCCAACAGCTCTATCCTCTGGTTACAGTCTTTCCTATCCGACAGAACTCAAGCAGTCAGCATTCCAAACCAACCCCTATCTTCCTTTCTTACACTGTCCTCTGGAGTGGCCCAGGGTTCGAGCATTTCTCCTCTCCTTTTCAACTCCTACATAAATGATCTTTCCAAATCCATCTACCACTGTTCACATCATTTATACGCTGATGACACCCAAATATATTTTTCCTTTCATCCTTCTGAGCTACTAGTCGCGTTCGCCAATATTCAGGCTGACCTAGATAGGATCAGTGCCTGGGCAAGTCTGAATAATTTAAATCTAAATGCGATGAAAACTCAGGCCATTATTATAGGTTCCAGTCCTATTCTTAAATCCATCTCCTTCCTTCCTCCTTTAGTCATCAACGATCATCCTGTCACATTCAGTTCATCCGTTAAAAACCTAGGAATCACCATAGACGAAAACCTCTCCTGGAAACCCCATATTGCCCTCATCTCCCGTAAGTCAATAGGTACCCTTAAGCTATTTCATCGCTCCCGCCACCTACTCCCACAACCCATCCGCAAGCTCCTTGTATCCTCTCTCATTTTCCCCCACTTTGACTACGGCTGTGTGGTGTACGGAGGCATCCCGATGGTACTCGAGGATAGATTGAAGCGACTCATGAATACGTGCTTAAGATTTGTCTTCGGTACATCAAAGCGATCTCATGTGTCCCACCTTTACGACGAGTTAAAGTGGCTCTTCCCTTCTTTCCGCAGACAATATTTCCTCGGATCTTTCCTATTCCAAACAATCAACACTAGACACCCTTCTTACATCTACAGTCTCCTACAGTTTAAACCCGTGGTCCACTCCCAGAAAACAAGATCCCGTGTTTCCGACCTTTATATCCCTTCCCATAGAACTAAGACGTTTGAATATTCCTTTATTTCCCGATCCACAGCCTTCTGGAATTCCTTGCCATCAGAAATCCGTCATGCCTCTTCCTTGTCCTCATTTAAATATCATCTTTACCAATTCCTTCTCACATCCCAAAATGACGTTATACAATAAAATAAATATTGTGAAACAGATTTTGACTGAGGTGAATGATTGATAAAATTTATTGTCTTAATTTTAAAAATCAACCCATGCTTATTTTATTTTATTTTTATTTTCATTTAAATAATGTTGTTTTTTTTATTTCGTTTTTTCTCAAAATTTTATTTTATTTTTAATTGTTTTAATTTAATCTCACTGAAGATACTGTATATATTCTTTAATATTGATTAATGTAATTTTTGGCCAGATGTAGTTTTAATTTTTTTGTTCATATCTGTTATTCATAAGGGACCTTGTCCCAGAATAAAGTTTACTTTCTATCTATCTATCTATATATATATTTTTTTTTTTGGGTCCTCCCCTTCCTTGCCGTTAAGGCTATACGGGGTTTTCCCGGGCCAGGGGATGTGGGCGGGGATTTAAAAGACGGCACCGGGACGCGAACTAGTGGCTATTTTTATATCATTAGATTCATATGTCAGGTTGCGGTGCTGTGCACACGCTTTAGCCCATTCGGCCACCCCGCCCACAAGTTATAATATATTGTATAATTATATTAATATGAACCTTTGAGCATAATCTTGGTCATATCACCACCTTGCACAATTGCTGACCAAGAAATAGTACTTCCTTCCTTAGAAAGTACCAAATCCAAAATCTTTCATAGGTTGCAATTAAATAACAAATTGCAAGAAAAATTAAAAAATCTTAAAAATTTAACGAGTGCAAATGATAAAATATCAAGTTTTAACTATTGAATGTTTGCATTTTTCACAAAAAAAAATCTATTTTTGTTGGTTTATAGCTAAAGCTCATAATCTATGCATGTATCCAAGAAATTCAATATAATCAATTTGAAAGAGTATTAAGTTACGTATGTACCTCCTACAGACACGTAAATATGTAAGAAGATTAAACGGTTGTTAAAGCGCAGAGAATCAAAGCCGTATTTCCTTTATATTATCTGCCACTCTCAAACTAAGTGCTTTTTATTTATTTTATAACAGAACTATTATGTATAAACAAATTACATAGCTTTTATATATTCTGTTGGTATGAGAGACTTTAATATGCATAACAATCGTCACAAAATTAAGGACCAAAATGTGTTTTAAAGTCTGAGTAGTCCAACGACATTAATTGCTTACTTGCATATTAGGACTCTACATAAGCATGAATTATGTGAAGTTGCCAACGTTCTCCTTCAGTTAACCAACAAATACATGTATACTTACAGAGAGTAAATAGTATTGTTATATTTTTCTTTTTTAAAAAGCTCTATTTTAAGTCCATTTTGCTTACATTTTGTTCATTACCCTTGCTTAATTCCAATATTTTTTTTTGTCACCTTCCAAATTAATCAATATCAGAGTCGACTATTATGTTTTGGGGGCAATTATTATTAAAATGATGTTGAATTTGAGATAGCGCCCCCTGGGCCTCGACTTTTTGGATTAAATCGATATCAGAGTCGACTATCATGTTATGAGGGGCGCTGTTTAAGAAAATGATGTTTTGAAATTAAGCCCTTTAAGGCTCTTCCAAAACATAATACTCCACCCAGATATCGATTTAATCCGAAAAGTTACAAAAAGTCGAGGCCCGGGGGTGCTATCTCAAATTCGACATTATTTTCATAAAAAGCACCCCCCAAAACATAATAGTCGAACCTGATATCGATTTAATCCGAAAAGTTACACAAAATTGAGGCCCGGGGGGGCCCAATCTCTAAAGCGACAGCATTTTCATGAAAAGCGCCCCCCAAAACATAATAGTAGACCGTGATATCGATTTAATCCAAAAAGTCGAGGCCGGAGGAGGCAATATCAAAATCGATAGCATTTTTATAAAAAGCGCCTCCCAAAACATAATAGTCGACCCTGATATTGATTAATTTGGAAGGTGACAAAAAAAAAATATATTGGAATTAAGCAAGGGTAATGAACAAAATGTAAGCAAAATGGAGTTAAAATAGAGCTTTTTAAAAAAGAAAAATATAACAATACTATTTACTCTCTGTAAGTATACATCTATTTATTGTATAGTTCTGTAGACAGTATTTTCATAAAAAGAGCCTCCCAAAATTTAATAGTCGACCCTGATATCGATTAAATCCGAAAGGTGACAAAAAAAAAATTAGATTATATAAGATAAAAACATATTTATTTTTTTTTTAATTACTCACGGCGTTAAAATTTTTCATGAGTGATTTACTCATGGAGATAACATTTTCACGAGTGATTTACCCATGGAGGAAAAATGTTTCATGAGTAATTTTCAAATTTACTCATGGCGAAGTTTCTAAGAGTGATCACTCGTGACGTCACTGCTGGACATTTTCTCGAGTAATTGCCCAACACTGCTCTCTATCTCTTACTCTATTTGCTATTTATATTCATGACCTTCCCCTCCTGATACATCACTCCCAACACCATATCTAATAATAATAATAATAATAGTAATACTTTATTTATTCTGGGATAAGTCCCTTTAGAATAATAATAAGGACAGTAATGTGGGCTAAGGAGCCTCAGAGATACATAAGAAGAAATGTTGAGTAATAAAATAGTCATATTAAAAATTATATGTTACTTTCTAACTTAAATAAGTTAATAATAAAAAATTTTAAAATAAAGTAAAAATAATGAAGAACACTTTATATACATATTTTCAGTGGTATCTATTTACAATTTTATGATTTTATGGGGACTGGATGGATAAGAAATGATTGAACAGGCGGGATTTAAAGGTAGGAAGGGTATTAGATCGACGGATGTGGGAAGGGATGGAGTTCCATAAGGACGAGGATCGGATAATGAATAATCTGTCGAAAGCAGCGGTTCAGTGGGGCCTTATGTATAAATCAGAAGACCTGGAACGAGTATTGCGGGAGCGAACAGAGGATTTGAATTGGAGGAGCTCGGAGATGTATGAAGGTCGGTGGGATTGGATGACTAGAAATAGGAAGGATGCCAGAAAATACTTACGACGGTAGGAAGGGTAAAGCCACTTCAACTCTCAAATGGGAAACAGAGGTGTCCCTTGGGATCCCAAAGATGAATCGTACAAAGCAATTTATCAAGCATTTTAGTTTCACCTCGAGATCCCCAGAGACGCCCCCATATACCGTACAGCAATAGTCAATGTGGGGAAAAATTAAGGAAGTGACCAGGAGTCTTCGGGTTTCAAGGGGAAATAAGTGATGGGAGTGGTTTATCTATACAGATAATTTCCAATTACACCTGTCCTTCCCGCCCTCCAAACTATTATCAGCCACAGAAAAACTTCAAGAAGACTTGGAGAGGATTTGTGACTGGGTGAGAGCAAACAAGTTGAAGTTGAATGTGGAAAAGAGGAAGGCAATCTTAGTAGGCTTCAATCACCTCCTTAAAACTGTTCCTAATATTCCAACTCTGTTTCTACATTATAATCCCATAAAATTTTATCCCTCCATCAAAAACCTTGGATAACCTTTGATCAAATGCTTTTCTGGAAAAACCATGTATCCAATATCTCCTGCCAAACTATTTCCACTATAAAACGTCAGAAGTACTCCCATCACCTATTTCCCCTTGAAACCTGTAGGCTCCAAGTCACTTCCTTAATTTTTTCCCACTTTGACTATTGCTGTGCGGTATATGGGGCGTCTCTGGGGATCTCGAGGCGAAACTAAAACGTTTGATAAATTGCTTTGTACGATTCATCTTCAGGATCCCAAGGGATGCCTCTGTTTCCCAATTTTATGCAGAGTTGAAGTGGCTTGATCCTTCCTACCGGCGAAAGTATTTTCTGGCATCCTTCCTCATTCAAGTCATCCAATTCCACCGCCCTTCATACATCTCCAAGTTCCTTCAATTCAAATCCTCTGTTCACCCCCTCCCCTCCAATACTCGTTCCTAGTCTTCTGATTTATAAATAAGGACCCACCGAACTGCTGCTTTCAATAGATCATTTATTATCCTTTGGAACTTCATCACTTCCCACATCCGTCAATCCAATATCCTTCCTACCTTTAAACCACGCCTGTTCAATTATTACTTATCCATCCAGGCCCCATAAAATTGTAAATAGATACTACTGTAAATATGTATATAAATTATTAGATCGTTCTTCATTATTTTTTTATATTAACTGATGAAAATTAGAAAGTAACTTATATATTATATATATATATATATATATATATATATTTTTAATGACTGTTTAATTATTCTGTATTTTTGTTTATGTATCTCTAAGGCTCCTTAGCCCACATTTCTGTCTTTCTATATTATTCTAAAGGGACTCGTCCCAGAATAAATAAAGTATGTATTATTATTATATTGAAGATAAATATAAATTAAAGTAACTATTTAACAAAAGTGAGAATAAATTTAGGTTTACCTGTTGTGATTTTTTAGTAGGACGACCAGGTACCCAAGACATATTATCTGCTACTCTTGAATGCTTTATCCATTCATCGTACCTCGTATTCCAACCATAATAATGCACAAGATACATGGCTTCAGAGCCTTCTTCACGAATGTTTAAAACCTTAATAAAGAGGGGATAACACACATTTTACTTAATAATAAATAAAAATTAACAAAACAATGTTTGTTCCTTAAGAAAAAACTGTGATTGTGTTGGTAATATCAAAGTTTAAAATAGGTATATTACAATTTATTGCAACCTCCTTTTATTTATTATTTCTTAATGATATTTACAACTGTATTAAAGAAATACATTTAGTAAATTTGAACATACGGATATAATGACGTGAAAACACCTGTTGAGTAACTACCCAATGGTAGCACTCTAATGATATGTCTACATTAGGAGATCACATAAGAAACATTAAGGTCATTATGAATGGTTTTATTTGTAACAAAGTAGGGAGCATTGAGGATTTTACGAAGGATTTTGGATTGTAAGGATTGGATACTAGAGTAATTTGATGGTTTAGTGGACCTCCATAGCTCAACTCCGTAAGTCCAAATAGGCCTTATTATAGTCATGTATATGAGTCTTTTGTAATTAATTGGAAGTTTAGAGCATTTGTCTAGTAAGTGCTGAAGTAATTGGAAACGTCGAGCGGTTTCTTGTCATTTCAGTCTGGTATGATAAATCTTTTTTTAAGTTGTAATACACAACGTTATAATTATATAATATCCATTCATCTATAACAAATCTTATTACTACCTGTAATTTAACTTACTTACCTAATTAATAAATTTAATGATACAAACTAAAATTCATTGAATTCTAATTACCTAAATTATTACAGAATAATTTAATTATTTAAATTGTTACTAGTTAACATTTAATTTTTAAATTAGTTAATAATGAAGAAATAACACCAAAAAACTATGCTTCTTTGCAACTCTCCTGCTTCAATTTAACAAAACTCAAAATGCATTATGGGAACTCTGGACAGATGAAAGAAACCTTATACTGAATATACTAACTGGCTTCCGAAAAGGGAAAGACTGCAGAGACAATGTTTTTATCCTCTCAGCAGTAGTAAATATAGCTCTATGATTGAAAAGACACAAAGTAATATCAATTTTGTGGACTTCAAAGGTGCCTTGATTCCCTAAATCACGAAAGGCTATAGAGAAGGCTTTATGATATTGGTCTGTAGCGGCAACAAATTCTCGCCTCTTACTCTCTTGCAGATTCTCGGCAGCGCGCTGCAGGCTCGCCCGTGCACAATACTAAAATTGTATCTTTTGTTTCTCATTGTTGTATTATAAAATACTTAAATTGTAAACTGAAATATGCATATTCATTGTAAATACTTTTTATTAATAAATTTTAATGGCGATAACATATACAGACTAAAGCTCAAAATAACTGTTATAGTAACGGCTCTTTGTAGCCGGTTTGGTCTTGGTGGAATCAATACCCTAGTCAAACCTCAAGTTGTCAATTCTACGGAGTTCCACCCCTTCAGGGTGTAAACCTATAGGGTGCAGACGGTCAGTATGTGTATCTTATACGCTTTTGGTTCACCTCGGTCTGCTCCTCTTATTTAACAACAACCTTTACCTTTATCCTCTTCTCTCACTCCATGTAAGTGGGACGCTGATCCGCCCGCTTGCAGTCCTATATACTGAGTCTGGAGATTGATCCCTCCGTCAGTATCTCATCCTCCCACAAGTCCAGAGTTTGATTGGGTGCTGATCCACCTGTCACTCGAGGCCATCCATCTGTTCACCTTCCTTCAACCATTCAGTCATCTTTACACCTCTTAACTGAACACACACTGTCGGTCGAGGCCTTCTGTTAACTTGCATATACTGCTTCTGCTTTATATACCTCAACAGGCCTCAGATGGAAAGTAATCCGTCTACTAATGAATGTATAAGAGTTAACCAGTTTTCAAATCAATGGAAACGACAAGTTATCTGGTGAAGTTTCTAGTCTCCGAAGGTGTCTTACTAAACAATAATTTAAGGCTTTTTTTACAGTACACATCAGATATACTGTACTTTTAGAAGGCAAAGGAATTCTGAGGAATTCCACTAACGGATATAATTGACCTCATCATCCTATATACAGACGATCTGGTAATCTTGGCTGACACCTGGAGAGATGGCCAGAACAAACTTCACATCCTACAAAATTACTGCTTTGAAAAAGGCCTAACAATAAATACTAACAAGACAGTATGGGTGATAAATATTCAGGACACAGTCATTATAAAGTTTTTATAGGTACCGACGTTTCAACCCAAACACGTGGGTCATCATCAGGGCATCTTTTCAGCATTTAAGGTATTCAAGAACTCAGAGTACTTGAAAACCTTCAGTGCTTGACAAAACTCAAAAAGTTTTGTTTTGGTTATCCATGTGTCAAACTTGCAGTTGTGTAATACCTTTAAAACCGTTGAGTTTGCAATTATACATTTTTTAAGAAAATGATGGGCAGCTGAACAGAAATTGGCAGACGAAGAGAATGAGGGAAGCACTCAGAGTACTTGAATACCTTCAGTGCTCGAAACACACCCTGATGATGACCCACTGTTTTGGTTGAAATATAGGGACCAATAAAAACTTTATAATGATTGCGTCCTGAATATTTATCACCCATGATATATAAAACAGTTGACTAACTTCCTTCAATAACAAGACAGTAGTTTTGATATTCCAAAGAGGTAGTAAAGCAGGGAGGCACAAAACTTTGGAATACATGAATACTGTTTTACAAGAAGTGAAAGAGTTTATTTATCCTGGAGTCGCCATTCTTTTCAGCTGCCCATCATTTCTAAAAAAATGTATAATTGCAAACTCAACAGTTTTAAAGGTATTACACAACTGCAAGTTTGACACATGGATAACCAAAACAAAACTTTTTGAGTCAATATCAGAAAGTATCCTTTTATATATGTCTGAAATATTGGGACTGGAATATGAACATCAAATAGAAAAAGACCATTTATCATACTTAAAAACGCCTTTTGCATGTACCAATAAATACCTCAAGCAGTCATGTCAGGTTGAAAACAGGACCAATTCACATGAAGCATAAAATATTTAAACAAGAACTCAATTGGTGGTAGAGCCTGTTAGAAAAACCATCAACAAACCTCATGGAATTGTGCTACCTTCAACATCGAGACTCAAAGATTTTCAACAACATTCAACTGGGCAATATTAAAAAATTATTCAATATCATAAGGAGCAGAAGATATATGGCTAAAGCCGGTATTGAGTAGAGATTATTACATTCATCTCATGGAAAAATTGCAAAACCACATGCATTGTATGGATATTGAAAATGACCTAAATAGCATATCTAACTCCCTTTATCGGTCGACATATAAGCTCCCTGGAAAGGGGTGAAAAATATCTAAATTTAAAAATTCATATAGACAAGATCAGAATAATGGATCAATTAGGATTAAACGGCAACCAAAACACAAGGCGCTATATTCAAAAGCATACTATAAAATTAAATACTGAATCTTTGTGCCCTCTATGCTACAAAAGAGAAGACTCAATATCCCATTTTATTCTGTCATGTCGAATACTGCAACATTACAGATCAAGATTCATTAGCCCAGTTATGCACAACTTAAATACAATAGACAAATTAACATGCGTCCTTATGCAAGATAAAGAAGACAAAATCAATAAGATCTTTCACTTCACCTTGTGTAGTCTAAAAATCAAAAAACTTTTGTCAAATGTAGAAGACCAAATACAATCTTTCTGTATTCATTAATAAGTTTTAACTTAAGTTCCATCATTAGTATTATTATCATTTCTACTTTATTTCAACCTCCATGAAAATTAAAGTATTTTGTTTATTTATTATTATTTTAAATATTCATGTATATATTGTATTCAATATATAATATAATAAGGAACTTATTATAATTATAATTACTATTGAATTGTTGAACAACCAATTTTTTGCTGTAAGGTGTTCTTTATAAGCAATAAATCATTCATTCATTCATTATGAGAAGTGATATTATTTCAAAAAGTGAAAATGTGCTGAAACAGTAAGCCTCATAGAAAGCATTAAACTGATAAGTGGACATACCTTGGCTTCATATGTAACTTTCAAATCATGTTTGGGCCCATAATACACTTTTAGTTTATCTCCAACTGAGACTGTTTTATAAGTAGGTAAGGTATCAAGACTTCTGAAATATAAATAAAATATTTCAGCAGTATTAAAAAAATAAATAATACAGGATTATAAGTACAGGAATAAAAATAAAAGTACATAAATATAACATATACTATAAAAATGAGTATAAGAATAAAATATTAGATTATTTTTAGTTTTGTAGACCTTTTTATCAGTTACTGTTTGATTTAAGTTATTGCTTTCCAATTTGGAAATTGCAGCCCTCTGGTATCTTTGTTTATTCTGGCAATGTAGTCCATGTTAAGTTACCTATATAGTTTATTAAAAGCAATGAGGACCGCACAAAAATCTTTAATTTTGAATCAACATTTTTAAATTAGGTTAAAACGTTAAAGCCACAAAAAATATTTATTGCCCTTGTTTTCAATCTGAAGACCAGAACCGTTATAACTATAAATTTATAACAACGATTGGTTATAATGGCAAAGTTTACCAGGTCCCTTCAAGATCATTATAAATGATATCCACTGTATATTTATTTCCAATTTGAAAACAATATTTATATAATAAAAAAGTTCCCTGACTTCTCCCTGTACTGAAAATTCCCTGACTTTATCTTGTTTTCCAGGTCAGTAGTCACCATTAGCGGACCCAGCCAGGGAGTGCAAATAAGTTTCGAAAATCAGCTATTTAAAGAAAAGAGAAATATAGGGAAAATTCATCCTTAAAGATGAATTTTCTAATGTGATATAAATAGAAATTATTATCATGACCAGCACTAGCGGATCCAACCAGGGGGCGTCCCTCTCCCTGGGTGGTAGAAAAAAAGTTCAAAGCAGCTATTTAAAGAAAAGAGAAATATACGAAGAATTCATCTTCAAAGATGAAATTTCTTATGTGATATAAAAAAACATATTATCTTGACCAGCAACAACAGATCCAGCCACAGGGGTTGTGCGCCCTACTGGATGAAGGAAAAAAGTTTCAAAAAACAGCTATTTAAAGAAAAGAGAATTATAGGGAAAATTCATCTTCAAAGACAAATTTTTTATCATTTTTTTTTTTCAGTTCCAATAGATCTGGACGCTTTGCAACCTCCAACAACTATAGTTTCCTTGATAAATCCATGTGATTCATAAAACTGGCCACAATAATAATTTGTATATTTCTCATTAAACATTTTTTTTTTTTTCATAAATGCTCCATGTGCTTTTCATTTCTTAAAATAGTCTCTGTTTTTGACAAATTTGTTAAATATTAATTAGCGTTTGTTGACTGAGGTTATCGACCATACCACTTAACCAAATTATTAATTTAGTTTCTTCTTCTTCGCACAATGTAAAGTTCTTTAATTTTTTTAAAAATACGTTTTTCGCTTCGATGCACATTTTTTTTCAGTTCCAATAGATCTGGACGCTTTGCAACCTCCAACAACTATAGTCTCCTTGATAAATCCATGTGATTCATAAAACTGGCCACAATAATAATTTGTATATTTCTCATTAACATTTTTTTTTTTCATAAATGCTCCATGTGTTTTTCATTTCTTAAAATAGTCGCTGTTTTTGACAAATCTGTTAAATATTAGAGTTTGTTGACTGAGGTTATCGACCATACCACTTAACCAAATTATTAATTTAGTTTCTTCTTCTTCGCACAATGTAAAGTTCTTTAATTTTTTTAAAAATATACGTTTTTCGCTCCGATGCATAGTTTAGCAGTTATAGATGAAAAGATTGAAAAAATCTGGCTTTATTTGCTGTAAAAAGTTTTCCCTAAAAACGTGGTCAATCTTTTATTAAATAAATAATCATTAAGTATTAAAGTAATTGAAGTTTTATAGTAAAGAATAGTTTTTTGTTAAAGGATATAATTTGTAAATGGTTAATTTTATGTGGTTCATATTTTGGTATATAAATATTAAATTAAAATTAAAAGAGTTTAATTTTGTTATATAGTTTAATGTTATTTAGATTTAAATATAATATTTTGTTGTTTGTAGTTCGGTATATCAGCTCTCCTATAGCCAACAATCCCAATTGACAATTTAACTATTAATTATTCCACATCAATAATTTGTTGCAGCTTCTTCGCCTGCCAAAGTATTCCAATAAAATTTAAATATAAGATCACCCATTCAGGGAATATCATACCCATAGACATGCTGGTAAATAATAATGAATAGAAGTTTTTTTAATTAATGGATATAGTAAATAAGGCAGACAGAGAAAGTCGTAACAACATAAATAGACAATTTTATCACAAATTCTATAGTCAACTCAAATACTATAATTAATGATTATTATATTAATCGAGTTTTAGGTCACATGGACATATTTAATAAACTACATTAATTTTAGAGTTCATTCCTTTATTTGATGTTTCGATTTCTTTTTTTATTGTATAAATAATGAGATCCTCTTCAGTATTATTCAATTGAGCACAAATACTCTAAGCCAGGTAGCATGCCAAATCACCTGCATCGGCTTCTGACTGCAGCTTACACAGTAAATTTTCACATATAATTCAAAATTTTATTAAGATAATTTATGAGGAAAAAAATCTTACTCATCAATAACTTCTGCCTTTTCTTTACGTTTCCTCCCTTTCTTCTTTTCTTCTAAGATGACAGGGACAGAATCATCTTTTTTGTTTCTAGAAGGAAGATAATCATCTTTAAGTTTTTTGGATGTTGGAGTCTAAAACAATTAAAAACAAATTAATACTTCAAGAATATTTTCCCAAGAGTATACTTATGATTTAGATTAAAAGAAATACAAATATTAAACAAATAAAAAAAAAAAATGTTGGTTTAGTTTAATTTCATTCCCATTGGGTCATGGTCAGTAGGTCACCAATTTCATCCAATTTTTTTTTTTGTGATTCTACATCGAAAAATAGCCAATGGGACTCTAAATCTCTGAAAATTTTCATGGGGACCAGTGGAGTTATGTTGAAGTTATCACAATTTTTTTATTTAAAAAAAAATGGAAGGATTCAACCTAGACAAACATTTTATTCAAAAAAATATTTCTTGTCAAACTGCTATGAAAATTAGTATTTTAGGAGATTCGGAGGTCAAAAAACAAAACAAATGAATATCAAATTTGTTTCTCCTTAAGAAAATATTTATCCCCACATTGCTGTCAGTCATTCCAATTTTGTTATGCTTAGTATTAGGTACAATATTGAAAAAATAATTTACTGACCAACATAGCGATGTGGGGGTAAATATTTTTTTAAGGAGAAACAAATTTTATATTCGTTTTTCTTTTATTTAGGATCTTATTGGCTATTTTTTTATGTGGAACCAAAGACATAATATAAAAATGTTCAAATACTTTTCTTTAATATTGCAGGTGCAAAAAAAACATCTAGGTCATCAGCTGTCCGTTTATTTATTTAGCGCTACCTTGTCTTTATTTTTATCTTATAAAAAGTAAAATCTAAAAGTTATTGATATGGGTTAGAAGAGTAGTAATTCACCTTTCCCATTGTTGCATTAATGTTGAATTTGAAGGAAATCCTGAGGAGCTATGAATGATTTAGTTAACGGCTGCATAAAAACAGAAATAACATAAAATATTCTTCAAATTATATCAAAAATATTTTTATTTTTTTCGATTCCTAAGGCCCAGTACTTTCGACCCGTACAACGGGACATGCTCAAATTTTTTTTCAATGTGGAATAAAAAATTTAGTTGAAATCGGTGACCCACTCACTGCGGCCTTACTAGATAAAAATGTAACAGTATAATCATAAGAACAAACTAAATGCATTGTCCATATAGTTGCAAAACATTGTAACAAAAATGATCTAATGAGCCATTATAGTTTGATCAGTTACTGATTGCTGAGCAAAGGCTAAGAGAACAGGAATAGAGTTAAACAGTGGAGGAGAGAGGGTGGCCATTAATTTACAGCCAAGATTTACTATTTACTATTAATTTATTTTTTATTTTTTAAATGCGAGAACTCAGAAATATAGAAAAATCGATTTAATAACATATAAAATTCCTAAAAACAGACCTACAAATATAATTTTTCAAAAATTGTGTAATTTTTTACAATAAAAATTAATTGAAAAGAAATATTAGAGAAATAATTTACGATTAAATATATTATTCCAAGTATAAGGATTATATAGAATATTATATAGAATATTATCATTATTTTAAAAAAAAATTCTTTAGTTTCATATATCTAAACTTCAAAAACTTTCAGTTTGCAAAATTATTGAGGAAATCTGACCACTTTCTTTAAATTTTAGAGCTATTATTCAATATAATCAAGGAGAATTTTACAAATAAAATATTTAAATTAGAAAAATATACTTTCGACTAATTTTTTTAAAGTTTTTATTTGACAGTAAATTTACTGTTTTAAATTCCCCCAGCTGGTCAACTACACCTTTCTACTTCCAATTATTTATAAATTCAATAATACTTCCAATTTATCTATTTTAAGATACCTATAAATTCTTTATTCTCTTATAAGTAGCTAAAAGTAGCAAGGAGTACATTTCACCGTACTTAATGTATTTCAGAATTTAAACACCCATTTCCATAAAACTGCAATTTACTTTTGTTAACAATTTTAGAAGTTTACATTCATCTCATATTTATATTTAAATGTATGAACTAGAATCTGATGCCTCAACACCTATTTTATTTTAATCTTCAATCAGGTTTATAAGTATTCGAGCACCGGTTTTGTTGAAACAAATAAAATAAAAAATATAACTATTATTAACAAAAGGTAATTTAAAAATATAAAATCAATTAATGAAAACCATGTTTTAATAAAAAACTGTTTTTGATGTTATAAACCGTATAACATGGTAGTATAAATAAATTATTCAAAATAATCAATTAGCAATGCGAGTCAAAAGTATTTGTACACTTTATTATTTTTATATTAAATTTGTAGGAAAATTAATATTTAGTGGAATCGCCTTTAGCATTTAATATAGACTGAGGACGCTGCAAGATTGAATTAATTAATTTTTGTTTTAATGACACAAGAATTTTGTTCCGTTCCTCAGTAAGGTTACTTTGATTATGGAAGTAAAAAAACAATGCATTTTCTGACTTGATCTTTCAGATATATTTACACAGATGCTCTAAAGAGTGGAGTGGAGAGGAGTTGCCATTTTGGTAGACTGTTGAGGTCGTCAAAGGCGTCTCTTTATTTTGATAGCACAATGGCATTATGTATCAAGCATTAAGTTACTATTTACTTATGTTTTCTTAAATGAGAATCAATAAATTCTAAAGTCATCAACATCGTGGTGAATAAGATTTTAAAAAATATACAGATAAAAATTAAGGAAAGGAGATAATATTAATACCAGTGTACAAATACTTATGGTTCTAATTGTATATAGTAGTCAATTTTTTTTTCTGAAATATCAAACAGTTGAAAACACAAAAAAAATTGTAAATCTTACTATATATACTGTGCACATCTAAGAGGTGAACAAAATGTTATTGCCCTGAATGAGTACCTTATATTTCAAATCCAAAAAATAACATATAACCATTGTGTGACCCACTCACACACTCATATGATGTCAGTCAGATTTCCTTCCTCACTTTCTCATCCATTCAAATTCCAGCCTACTTACTAGCTAAGCTATAAACTTTAAAAGTGAAGAACTTTTAACTTCAAGTCTGTAACCAATGGGAAAATTTCTAAAAGTAAAATGTTTAATAAAACTACTTAAACATCCCAAAAAAATTTAAATGGTCGGGCCAGCTTAAAACAAATTGTAAATCATAAACAAATGGGCATCATCACAGCTATAAATTTCATGAGATCTGCACTTTTTGTTCCATCAATTGTTATTTTTTGTTCTACTTAATTTGATACTTGACAACTTTTATTCTGTAATTACATTGATGCTAAATACGTTTTTAAGAATATTTTGAAGAAGTTGGTGAACATTGTCACCACTTTTTATCCACTTACAATGAGAGGCCACCAATTCCAACCAATTTTTTTTTTTATGAAACTATATCGAAAAATATTGGACACTTGTCCTGGCATACGTCCCAATGGGTCCTAGGAGCCAAGAAAAAAAAATGTATATAATTTTAAAATAAAATTTATGTTATTTATTTTGCCTTTGCTATGTTCAGAGTTTTAGATTATTATTCATCGATCAATTTCTTTATTTGAGCAAAATAAGAAAAAAATACTGACTATTATATTAAATGAGTTGTAATATTAAATACAAATATATATACATTTGCGGTCATAGAAATTGCATCAGTTATTTCTTTTGATTCTTATGTTGATAACATTGATTCTAATTAATGTTTCTGTTTTTCTTTACTTATTTAGGTTACAAGAAAACTTTAACAATGTTTCTCAGTTCAGTTTTAACTAATGCCAGGATAAAATCTGTAATTAGGATCAGTTTCATAAAGCTGTTCTCGTCAGAGAATATTAAAATTGTTACATTACATGAAGTGAAGCAATTTTCATGGGAAATGGTAATGAGGAGAGTGTACCACCAATAAACGGTAGTCATAGCTTCGGGGAGAAAAAAAATAAATGGCACCATGGTGTGAAAGAAAGGAACTGGTAGGAGACAAAAACAAACAAACAATTTTACTGCTTAATGGTGTGATTATTTTTAGAATATTGTTTCAAAACTCACAAAGAAATATCTGGAGAATAGCAAAGCAATCTGGTAAATAAAATAAAATTTTTCTGGGTGATGCAATTTCTATGACCACAACTGTGTAAATCAAATATAGCAAAATTTAATACATTTTCTAAGAGGATTTTTTTTTCCGACCTATAACTACAGCATTCACAACTTTCTACACGAAATGTTTGCTTAGGCTGGACCCTTCAAAATTTTGTCACCAACCACAAAAATTGTGATAACTTTAGAATGGCTCTGCCGACCCACACAAAATTTATCAAGGATTTAGGGCTCTAAATGCTACATAAAATGGTATAAAACCAACCTCCTTAAACAAATTAGAACCCAAGATATAAAACAAAAATGATGAAGAAGTTTTTCTTAATTTCTTGGTTAAAAAGGAATGAAATCTAAAAGTTATTTATGTGGTTTTGAAGAGCAGTCAGTAGTTCAGCTTCCCAACAGTTGTACTAACGTTGAATTTGGAGAAAATCCTGAGAAGTCATAAATGCTTTAGTTATCGGTTAGAAAAAAATATTCCTGTAAAAAAAAATCAAGTATTTAATTTTGAATTTCAATAAATACTCATATTCAAGAGTTTCAAAGGACACTAAAAACGAATCTAACTTACTTTTTCATAAGAAAAATTTATTTTGCCTACTTTACTAGAAGCACATTTTGGTTTTTTAAAATTTATGATACATTATAACTCATTTAATACAATAGTCAATACTTTTTTCTTATTCTGCACAAAAAAAGAAATTGATTGATACATGATAACCTAAAAATCCGGGCAAAGCAAAGGCAATAATAAATAACATACATTTTGTTTGAAATTATATAATTTTTTTTTTTCCTTAGCTCCTAGGGCCCATTGGAACAAATGAAGGAAATGCGTCCAATATTTTTTGATGCAGTATCATCGAAAAAAATTTGGTTGACCCACTGATTCCAGTTGTAAGTGTGGAGAAAAATATGACATAAAGAACATTTTTTCTAAACAAACAAAATCTAACCCTCTCTAAGATATATTAGATAGAGATA